TTTTCATTATTCTGGAGGGAGGGCATTTGCTGCTGCAGACTGGTGGCTGGAGGGGTTGGGGGGGTCAGTGGACACATGGGTAGGGGGCGCTAAGCAGAAGAGAGCTGGAGGCAGGAGGGAGCATGCTGCTCGGAGGTGGAGGGACAGTGCAGTGTTGAAGACTGGAGGGCAGTTGTGCATCCCAGAGGGAAGGGCGATCCCTCTGTCATAGCCATCTGAGAGACCTGGGGGAAGAGTTTCTTGAGTCAGGAAGACCTTGACTGATCCCCCTACCTTAGGGGAGGCTCTGATGGGACAGCAATCTCCTGACACCAGGGCTGTCCACTGCAGCCTGTGCCTTTCCTGCCCGGACCTTCATGAAGCCTAGACATAAAACCTGATCTCTAAGACCCTTGTTGAGGTATCATGCTTTCTGCTGTTTCCATAAACATTTCTGCAGAAATACTCACCTAGGCCTGAAGGTACTGCCCTCTAGCTTTCCTGGTAGCCCCTCTATTCCCCCCACCCCCCCATTTGTTCTCCTCTTCCCTACCACTTGAGAACAAAACGGCTCTATCAGCTTCCATCAGCCCCTCAGACCTGGAGCCAGGCAACTTAATTGAGATCTCAAATTTGAAATACCAAAGCCTGAAAACTTCCACCTGGGAACGTGCACAGAGGATGGGAGCTGACAGGCAGATATTGACATCCCGTCAGAGGGTAGACCTGGAGGCTAATGCCTCTCTCCTCATGCTCCTGGCTAGCTCTGAGGCTGGGGAAGCCACACTGGAGGAAACTGAGGCCCCAAGCCACACCCCAACCCCTAGCACAGTGCTTGGGGCAGAAGAGGCTAGAGGGGGTGGATCCAGCAAAGACCCTGCATGCCAGCTCCTTAGGCTTATCTGAGGACATCACAGCCATGGTTTTATCTGGGCATTGTGGCAGTCCTGTGACAGCAGTGGTCAGTGCTCCCACTTCACAGAGGAGGAATGACTGAGACTCAGAGAGGCCAAGTAATCTGCCTGAGCTCACACAGCTGGAACTGCTAGGATGAGGCAACTGGGATTTTGACACTCGCTTCTGGGTCCACAGTCTGGGCTTGTTCCTCATCATGTGACAGATATGGGGGCATTTTTACTCATTTCAGTGAAAAATCTGCCTTGGCTTGTGGCTGCTCAGCCACTCCCTTCCCTGGAGCTGTGCTCAGAGCCCACAGTGTCTCACATCCCTCCACCAGCAGGACCCCTGCCTGCTGGGCCATCTGCTATGCAGGGCCTGAGGAGCCCTGTGTGGCCAGTGCTACAGAGGACACAAGAGTTCTCCAAGGTTTAGTTCCTCCCCGCTCTGGGCTAGTGAAGTGAATTGGAGAGGCAGGAGCTAAGCATGCCCAGAACGGTGACAACACTAAGAGCAAACACCAACCAGCAACTGTGTGCCTCGCTCTCTGTCAAGTGACCTATATCAACTCACTCAGTTCTACAGCAGCCCTCTGAGGTAGCCACTATCAAGATTCTCACATTGCAGACGGGGAAACAGGGACAGAGCAAAGATGACATGGCACAGCAGGGAGCCAGACCCAGGCAGCCAGCTGCAGGCTGCTTGGAATGGCTGCATCCCCCACCTCGCAGGGTCAAGGGCAATGTAAGCACGTATCCATTTGAGGAGGGTCCAGGCAGGTTTATTTACTGAATGCCCGTTGTATGACACGGGTTTCATAGTCATTGCCTTTAACCCTCACAACAACCTCAGGACACAGAAGATGGGCCACGAGCAGAAATCATCTCAACGTTTAGTGGCCTTCTCCTGGGAAGCAGACACTAACTACTACTCCTCCCATCACTACCACCACTAATGACGACAAAAGAAGGGTGGTTCATGTGAGGGCTTACTCCATGCCAGGCAATATTCTGAGATTTTTAAGGGATTAATACTCACTTAATCCAACAACTGTTGTGAAGTAGTTACTGTTACTAATATCTCTGCTTTACAGATAAGAAACTGAGGTACAGAAAGGTTAAGCTACCTGCCTAAAGACACCTAGTTAGTAAGTGGCAGAGCTGGGATCCAAACCAGGCAGTCTGGCTCCAGGGCCTCTGCTCCTCTCAGATGCTGCCCTGTCTTCCTGCTCTCCCTGGGCGACTTGGTGTGGGAACCTGCCTGGCCTCTCTCCCTCCCCCTTGGTCCCCAAGTCAGGGAAAATGTGACCAAGCTGCGGTTGGGCTGTGCTGCTAATGGAAGTGTAGTAGGGCAAGGCTGATTCTTGGCAGGCTGCTGGCAGCAGGGATGAAGGGTCAGGCTTTGCACTGTAAAAGCTTTGCACTGTAACTGGCCCATCAGAAACAAAGACAGAGGAAAAAGCCTGCTTCCCAGGATAAGAATAAAGGGCAGGAAGGCAGCTCCTGGTTGCCCTGCCCTGTGTGAGTGAGTGTGTGTGTGTGTGTGTGTGTTGGGGCAGGAGAAGTTGGGGGGACTTAAAGAGAGCAAGAGCCAATTGGCCCAAAAGAGCCTCAGCTGGCAAGGTCAAGTTTGCCTTTGCCAATAACAACCTGTATTCACCTTGTGCTGAGAAGTTTACATGCATTATCTCATTTAACTTCCCCCTGAGGAAGTTATTATTATCATTTAAATTTAGAGAAAGAGGATGCCAAACAGCTTGCACTTTCCCTCTAGGGGAATGATGGATCCAGATCAGATCCATTGGGATCTAGAGACAATGCTTCTTAATCAAA